GTCCCCGCCCCGTGACCCACGCCTGGGGGTCGCTCCCCACCACTGCCCCCTCCCCACTCTGTGACCCACGCCTGGGAGCCCCCCCCCTGCTCCTCTGCACCAGGGGGACTGGGACCAGAGCCAGGGTACCCTCGAGGGGAACTGAGCGCCCCCCGCTGTGCCTCCGCCTGCCCGCTCCAGTGTGGGCCCCAGGCCCCTGGGGGGAGGGGGCAGCTGGTGGCGGGGGGCTGGGCCGGCTCCCCTCTCAGGCCGGGCTCCCTGCGGCAGGTCAGCTGCCTGGGGCTGGAGGAGGGCGTGGAGAACGACCCCTGCAAGTTCGCCCTGACGTCGCGGGGCGCCGACCGCAGCAGCGTCCGCTACGTGCTCCAGGCCGCGGCCCCCGAGATCGCCCGGGCCTGGGCGGCCGACATCAGCCACATCCTGGAGACCCAGCGCGACTTCCTCAATGGTAGGTGCCCCCCACTCCTCCACCGGGGCTGCCCCGGCCCCTCCCCCAGCCCTCGGCTGCCCCACCCTCAGCCCCTCCCCTGGGATGTCCCGCCCACAGCTCCGCCCACAGCCTGCCCCACCCACAGCCCCACCCCTGGGATGTCCTGCCCACAGCTCCGCCCACAGGCTGCCCCGCCCACAGCCCTGCCCTGGGATGCCCCTCCCACAGCTCCACCCACATGCTGCCCTGTCCACAGCCGCGCCCCTGGGATGTCCCGCTCACAGCTCCGCCCACAGGCTGCCCTAGCCCCCCTCAGACCTCTGGGTTGCCCTAGCCCCCTCCCCCTGGGTGCACTTTCCCCCCTCCCCCCTTATCTGCCCTGCCTAGGGCCCAGCAGGGTGAGAGGTTCCCAGAATGGTCAGGGGAGGGGAGCTGTCCCCCAGGCGTGTGCGGCCCGTGTGCCGTGTGAGCGTGCATGTGGCTCTGTGCAGCGTGTGACACGCGTGATGCCCCATGTGGTTCCCCCCCACAGCGCTGCAGTCGCCCATCGAGTACCAGCGGCGGGAGAGCAAGTCCCACAGCCTGGGCTGGGCGGGGGCCCTGCGGGCATCGCCACCCAGCGGCCCAATGCGCCCCCACTCCTCCGCCTCCATGGACAGGAACACGGGGCCCAGCTTCCGGGCCTACAACTCCTCCCTGCCCTCCATCTACCTGCCCAGCAGCCACCCGCCGCCCACTGAGGTACTGGGGGGACTGGTGTGCGGGGGGCAGGGACTGGGGGGCCAGCTGAGGGGGGGGGGGGGGGGGGCGGGGGTGGGGGTGGGGGGGCCAGCTGAGGTAGGGGGCGGGGGGCAGGGACTGAGGTCGGGGCCTGGGGGTCCCAGCTGAGGTAGTGGGTGGGGAGCAGGGACTGAGGTTGGGGTCTGGGGGGCCCAGCTGAGATAGGGGGCAGGGACTGAAGTCGAGGTCTGGGGAGCCCAGCCTCGGGGAAGCCCCTTCCCTGAGCCAGGACTCCTGGGTCCACTTCTCCTTGCGCTTCCCTTGCAGCCCGCCCGCAGCCAGAGCTCCCACGCGCCCAGGACGGCCTCCCCGGCCCATGTTTGCCTCGACTTCCCCGGGGGCCCCCAGCCAGGCGAGCCCCCCCCTGGGGTGAGTGATGGGAGCAGATCAATAAGGGCCATGCGGCTTCCAGGGCTGGAGCTGGGGGGTGGGGAGCAGGTGTGGGGGGGCTGGGGCAATGGGGGCTCGCCGGGGAATGTCTCTTCTGCTCCTGCTTTGCAATAGGGTCTCGCTGGGCCCTGCCGGTTCCCCTCAATCCTGAACCACAACCCCTTGCCAGCCCAGCCCTGGGCTCCCCCCAAGCTCAGGTGGTGCCCCCCAATCCCGACCCGCAGTCCCCCGAGCCCCGTATCTGCAATGGTTCCCGTCCGCTGGGGGTTTGTGGTCGGCTCTTGTGAGTTCGGGGCTGAGGCCTGGTGGTGCTGGGGGGGGAACCGCGGGTTCTGGGGAGCAGGGGCCAGCGCTCCCCAGCTTTGGGGCAGGCAGAGGAGTGCTGGGGGGCAGGGCCAGTCTGGCTGGGGGTGGGGGGCTGACTCTGGCTGTGTTTGTCCCTGGCAGGCCCTGAGGGGGGCAGGCTGCCCGCTCCCCGAGCCGGGCTCCGACACCCCCAGCGCCCGGCTTGCCAAACTCGACGAAGACGAGCTGTGACCCACCCCCCCCCACTGGGGACTCTGAAGGCTGCTGCCCCCTCCCAGCCCAAGGAGTGACCCGCGAGGAACGGCTGGGCCCCCGCTCAGAGACTGGAGTGAAGCCGGGGAGACCTGGAGCCCCACACCCCACGCTGCCCCCCCCTGGGAGGAGGGGCAGCCAGGCAGGGACCATGGACGTGACTGTGAGCACCTTCCTTTTGGCCAAGGACCCTCATGCTGAGGGGGGCACGGGGGTCTGCCCCTCCCCCACCCAGGACCCATCAGTGCATGGAGCTGCCATGGGGCTGGCAGTAGGGTGCTGGGGAGGGGGCAAATGGGGCTCTGAACAGATGGGAAGGGTGCCTCTGCCCCCGCCTGGGAGCTGGGTTGGACCCAGCCGGACCCCGACCCCGTCGCCCTGACCCCCAGCTGCGGCCCCCACTTCCCCCTGCTTTGTGGCGGGGGGGTGTTCCCAGACATCCCCTCCTTGCTCCCGGGGAACGTTTAGCAGCCCCACGCTGTCAGGGCCCTTCCCTTCCCACCCCCCATCTCTGGCCCCAGAGATTGCAACATGGCCGCCCCCACCCCCACCCCTCTAGCCTGGCCCAGCCGCCCAGCCCAAAGGCGGCTTCTCTCCCAGGCTTCACCTCTCCCCATGGGAATCAGGCCCCCTTTCTGGACCAGAGAATGCAATGCGGGGCCCCCCTGGGCCCACCCCCCGGGCCCGCAGGCCCCTGTATATGCATGCTGCCGGGCCCCGGGCGGGGAGCACCGGAATTATTTTGTTTAATAATAAAGTTTTTGGTTTATCAAATGGGGAAAAACTGGCTGAGCTCGGAGCCCCACCCCACTCCCGGCCTCTAGGGGGTGACAGCACCTCCTGCGCTCCTGGGGGGGCAGCCCCCAGCCCCCCCCCCTCCGTAGGAGCCCGGTCCCGTGTAGGGCTCACGCTTGTGTGGAGCTCCCCCCCCCAGAGGCGGCCACATTCTGGTGGTGCCTCACAGCGCCCCAGGGTTGCCCCCGTTCTCTGGACAGCGACCCCCATCTCAGCCGGGTTGGGGTCCCCCCCGCTCCCTCCCACCGGGGCCCTAGAGACTGGACCAACCAGAGTGGCTGGGGCGGTGTCAGGCGTTTAATGGGTGTCAAGCGCTGTACATGGGGCAGGGGGCGCAGCCTGGCCCCCTGGAGCCGCCCCCCCCCATGCTGATGTCAGAAGCGTGTGTGTGACCTCGCGCGCTGTGATGTCACAGTGACTGCGCGGGCGCCCGCGGGGGAAGGGGGATTTGACAGCTGCCCCCATGTTCACTCTGGGGTCCAGGCGTCAGGCCCCCCCAGGACAAGGGGGTCTCAGTGCCCTGTGTTTAGTTCTAGCCACCTCCAACCCCCCCTGCCCCCCATGCAGCCGGGAGCTGGGCTGGCGGTCCCAGGACTGGCTGCTCCATCGTTCCTGCTGAAGATCCCTGAGGGAGGGGGCCCGGGGCGGGGGGTCCCCACACCCCCCCTGGGTCACAAGGACTGGCTTTTCCAGAGGGAACGCGCGGTGCAAATTTGAGACTCCTGGGGGGCATCTCCGCAGTCAGGCGCTCTGGGGGGGTGTCTCCGCAGGTGTCTGGGGTGCTCCGGGGGGACATCTCTGCAGGTGGCTGGGGGCACTCTGGGGGGGGGCGGCCCCCGGGGGGGCCGGGGGGGCTCGGGGGGGGGCGTCTCCACGGGTATCTGGGGGCGCGTCTCTGTGTGTGGCCGGGGTGGTCCGGGGGGGTATCTCTGTGTGTGGCCGGGGTGTTCTGGGGGGGCGTCTCTGCAGATGTCCGGGGTGCTTGGGGGGGGCGGGTGTGTGTGTCTCTACGACCCAAAGTTTTCCCAAGGCGATGTTTTCTGTCAGGAAACGCAAACTCCAAACGTCTCACGGCTTCTGTCTCAAAGTTTCCGGTGGAGAGGGATGGCCCTGGCTGTGCCGCGGGCTGCCCGGGGAAAACCCGCCCGGCACCGTGGAGACGCTAGGGTCCACCCTGGAGGAACCAAGTGCTTTGGGCCGCGTGATCAGGGCCACCTGGGATATTTCGAACATTCCCAGTTGGCCTGAGCAGCCGGATTTGGGACCTTTCCCGCAGATCCCAGGCTGGACCTGCTCTGCCTCGGCCGTGTGTCTCCAGGTGCGTGCCCACAACGTGGAGTGTTTGTATGTGTGACCAGGAGCGTGTGCCTCAGTTTCCCTCCCCCCCCCCGCAGGTCTGTCCCCAATAGCAGCCGCGCTGTGCCCCCCACACCGTCCGCAGCCCCCTCACTCCTGCTTGATGGTGCCCAACTGGGCCCCGCTGCCCTTGGCTCGCTTGCCCTGATGGGTCTTGATGTGCTTGGCCAGGTGGTCACTGCGCATGAAGCGCTTCCCGCAGCCCTGGCACCCGAAGCGCTTCTCGCCCGTGTGAGTCCGCAGGTGGCGCTGCAGCTCGTCCGAGCGGGTGAAGCTCTTCCCGCAGTACAGCCAGGTGCAGACGAAGGGGCGCTCGCCCGCGTGCCAGCGCAGGTGGGCCTTCAGGTGGGACGTCTTGCCGTAGACCTTCCCGCAGCCCGGCAAGTGGCACAGGTGCTGCTTCTTCTTGCCCGGCTCCTCGGCGCCCGCCTGGCAGTTGGGGCACTTGCAGCGCCGGCAGCGCCGGGCCGGGCCCAGCAGCCCCTTGGGGGAGCCGTGTAGCAGGGCTGGGAGCGGGGGCTGTGGCCCCAGCATCAGGGGCCGGCTCAGGTGGAAGGCAGGCAGGTTGCCCGGGGTGGGCTGCTGCAGGCTCCACCAGGGGGCATCTTCCGCGTGGCCCCCTGGGGCATTGGGGGGTCCGGGGCCCAGGGGCCGGGGGGCCATGCCGCCAGAGCTCTCCAAGAAGCTGGGGAAGTCCTGAGCCTCAGGGAAGTGGTAGGAGGAGCCAGGTGGCCCCTGGGGAGCCAGGACCTTGACCGGCGACAGCTCGAAGGAGTAGGTGTGCTCGGCCGGTGGGGTCAGGGGAGAGCCCGGGGTGACGTGCCCGGGGTACTGCGCCTTGGGCAGCCCAAAGGCCATGGCGTGGGCACTCAGCCCGGAGCCGGCTGGCAACTCGTTGCTCCAGAGTTGAAACATCCCAGCAGGGCCGGTGGCCGGGGCAAAGTCCGTGGAGGAGGGTCCCGCAGCCGCTGCCAGGAACGCCAAGGAGGGGTGGTGGGGAGCAGCTCGCTCGGGGGAGGAGACGGGGGTCCTGTCCTGGGGCAGAGAGAGCCGGAGTCAGGCAGGGCCGGGCCTAGCAGTGAGAACAACCCCCCTCCC